CGGTGCCGCCCCCCCCCCCCCCCCTTACTGCAGAGTCAGAAGCGAAGTCTGTACCAATGTGTGGATGTGCATTTGTGTTCTTGTTTTTTTGTTTTGAGGATTATTTTTTAGAGATATTTTTCTAAATACAGCTTGCTACTTACAGTTGGCAGGTTTCTGTGGCTTCTACCTGTAAGAGTCTGTTGTGAAAATTGCCGGCCAAGTGCAGCGGACACTGCAAGCTTGTTGTTGAGCAAAACTTGAAAGATTAGGTGACTAAGAGTCAACAACAGATCACATATCATACAATAACATGGTCAAATCTTCAGTAACACTTGTCTCTTCAAAGAGTCTTAGATTGCTTTGTGAATTTCAGTTTTGCTTGTCACTTTGTCATCAGTGGTAGGACTGCAGCTAGTCTTATGGTGAGGCCTGGCACTTGCATAGCTGTGCTGTGATCAGTTAAATCATAGGTGGAGAATAGGAAAGGGTGAGAACAATGTTCAGAAAAAACATGCAATAAACTTTAAAAAAACCTGTTCTCAGTGGCATTTTAATGGGATATTTTATAATACTGTTCCTTAGCAGGGATTCATTTATCTCACAAAAAGTGTCATGGCTAAGTACATTGAACTGTGAAGCTGGTAGGGGGAACCACTTGAGACCAAAGTACTTGGTATGATTTAAAACATTGTAATATGTGGGAGAAGGATGGACTTCACAACTCTGAGAGTTATATTCCAAAGCCGTTTATTGTCTTGTCTGACTCTAGTATATATCATAATTTTTGCTTAGCCACTGCACACACACACTCATGATTGGTTGCAGCTTGTTACACACATTATTGCAATTGGCTAAATACAAAATATCACGCACTGTCCACATGCCTCTCACACAGTCAGGATTCGCTGCCTGCAGGTGTTCCTGCATTCCTTTGCTGCTTCTTAGTTGTTTACGACAGCTCCTTCTCCTCAAGGCCGAGCCGTGCAGATATCCAGCTGTTTACCAGATTCTCAATGCCACAGCTCCTTCTCCTTAAGGTCGAGCTGTGCAGATCAACACCACAGCTCCTTCTCCTTAAGGTTGAGCCATGCAGGGTGATCCCAACAGTAATATGCTTTCCCCCAGGCATAAAGCTGACTTCAGTGTGGTACGATTATAAATAGGATTATTTTGTACTGACGATACAGTTTGAGTGAGCCCTCCAGTAATCTGTGGTGGGCAGGGTCTGGGTTTGGGATACTGTCTGCAAAATTGCACTTCCAGCCGTGGGGTGATCCCAGAGAGCACTGTTACAGTGTCTGCCCAGTGTAGATTCAGTAGAAAGGTGTATCATTTCCATTTTACCCAGAGAGTGGGTGTATTTTGTTTTCTATACTCCCAAAAGACAAATGCTGTTTAAAACTATAGCAGTCTCCATTGTAATAATGCGTGGACATTGTGGAATAAAAGTTCACTGAAGATACTTGTGGGTTGATCCCTGCCAGGAGCCAAGTACCCACACAGCTACTTCCTCCCTCCCCAGTGGGATAAGGAAAGAATAAGAGCAAAATAGAGAAAATTGATGGATTGAGATAAGGGCAGCTTAATAGGTGAAGGAAAGAAAGGGGTAGTGGGAGGGGGGAGCAAGTGATGCAAATACAATTGGTCACTGCCTCCCACAAGCAGACTGGTGCCTTGGCAGCCTCTGAGCAGTGGCCACTTTAGAAGACCCCTCCACTTCTTTCTCTGCCCCATTTTTTATTGCTGAGCATGACATTACATGGTGTGGGATATCTCTTTGGGTAATTCAAGTCAGCTGCCCCAGTGGTTTCCCCTCTCGACTTCTTGTTCACCCTCAATTTAGTGACTGTGGGAGGGCGTGGGGCAGAGTGGGGAAAAGAGAAGGCCTTGAAGCTGTGCAAGCACTGTTAAGCAGTAGCCAAAAATTGGTGTATTATCAGCACTGTTTTAGCCATAAGTCCAAAACCCAGCACTGCAGGGCCTGCTATGAAGGAAGTTCACTCCATCCCAGCCAGATCTCAGGACAATACTAAATACAAAGAAACTGCACTTGACCCAGGAAAAATGAGATAGAAGTAGCTGGAGGCCAGGATGCTATTGAAAGGGGTATGAGTTACACTGCTTCTGTTTAATATTTGTCCATGGGCTGTAGGGATCTGCTTTTGGCAGACACTTAAAGTGCTGGGTTAGATGAACCTTTGGTTAGCATGGTATTGTTAGTTGTTGCTTGTGTGGTCTGTTTTTGACAATGTTTTAGAATATGCACATTTCAGTTAAGTGCTTAAAAATACAAAAATTGTATTTATTATGCTACTGATGCCTGTGTGTTCTGATAGATGGAGGATTTTTTTAAGAGCGAAAATCATGTTCTGAAATAATAAATGTTACTGTGTATTTACAGGAATCAGCGCATACCAGGAGTTCATCCTAGAACTCCCAACAAATTTAAGAAGTACAGCCGTAGATCCTGGGACCAGCAAATCAGGCTGTGGAAGATAGCATTGCATGCCTGGGATCCTCCTACTGAAGAAACCTGGGACCTGCAGCCAGTGTGTGTATGGGTGAATTAAGTCAGCACACGTCTCCTGCGTCACAGGGAAGACTCTATTTCCTTTAGAGCATTCCTACCTGTAAGCAAGAGAGGAGGTCAGGCTCAGAAAGGGGAGTCTCCTTGAATGCCTTGTTTTCCTTTTGAATTCCGTTAGTCTTCAAGATACTCCCATTATTTAGTCTAAATTCATCTCCAAGACTCTCTGGGGAGGAAGGCATTTGGTCTGTCTACAGTAGTATACTGCCTTCCCCTGTGTGTTTACACTGGTGAGCACAAGGTAAAATTATTTTTCTAGAAAGGGATAGACATAAGCAGAAGTTAGGTGACTACTGTTCCTTGACCTTGATAACCTATCCATCTTTTCTTTTTCTGATGTCAGTGGAACCACCTTTCTCCTGCAGTAACAGTGTGTTAGAGGATTTGAGAAGTGTAAGAAGATCAGAGAGAATTTTCTGTGCTCTTTGCAGGAGGGTGGCAACTGTGTTCAAGATGGAAATTTTTTTTATCTTTTCAGAACTTTGAATTTCTGTAACAAGGCTAGCTCTGCTAATTGACACCACCTAATACTTTACAAGATTTGGACTAGTAAATGGGGAGGAAAAGAGTGAATGGAATTCTTAGCTCTGTAACTGCATTGTGCAGATAGTTTCAGCTGTTTTGGAATTGACCTACGGTGGAAGTTGCAGTTGTTTGCACCATTTGGACATCATAAGAGATGAACTGTTAATTATTACTGCATCTTAACTGTTTTCTGCTTGGAGTGGTAAACCAGATGGGTAGTATTTTAAACCCTTTTTTTTTCCTCTTTTCCCTCATTTTTAGTAGTACAGAACCCTCAGGCAGTTCCCAGGAACGGTTCTGCAAAGATCAGAATGTTTCTGGCTCCTTTGTATTTGATGAAAAGCAGAAGAGAAATGAGTGTGAAGATGAATGCAGACAGACTGACTACACATCAGAGAGGTAAGATATAAAACTTACTGAAAAAATTATTGAAACTTATTGAAATAATTCAATAATTATGAGGGCATTCATTAATCAAATATTCAGTAAATATGAGGGCAGTTAATGCTCAGCTTTGGACTTGGCACTTGTGCTGTTGAATGTAATCCATCACTGGTACAGAGCACTGAATGTGGAAAGATTACCAGCATTATGGAATTGCATGATTAACAGCAGAAAAAGGCAGTGTTTTTTCAGCTTCTCTGTTTATACAGTGGAATACTGAGGTTTCTTTAACCACTTTAACCACTGGCAAGTGCTGAAAATAGGATACCTTTTTCAGAAGCAAAAGTGACCACCCTTAATTAACAGTATGGTGGCTGTCTGCAGAACAGCAGGGAGACTAACAGTGAAGCACCTCACGTACTTCCCTGTTTACTGAAATACCTTGATCTGGGGGCATGTATGTGGAGCTGAAAACAGTTCTGCTTCTAAGTTTCTTCTGTGATGGTGACTGGGTTCACTTTCCAAAATACAATGGAGTGGTTACCAAAATTTGGGCCATTTTCTCTGTGTTCATCTGTTGTGCCTGATGAATCATACCTCAAAAAAGTCTTCCTCTGTAGCCTGTGACATTATTTTGCAGAACTCTGATAAGCATTTAAACACAGATGAAAAATGTTGTGTGTGTAAAATCTGTGTCTTATTTTTGTAGTCCCTGTTCTCCCGATTCTTCTCCAGTATGGAAACGCAGAAAAAGAAACAATTCTGACTCCTCTGTAGCTTCAAAGAGCAAAGACCATTATGTGCATATGTACCACACACTGGAAAGGTATGAAATGATTCTCCATATGGAGATTCATTAATATTGTGAACTGACTTTTGGAATAAGGTTGGTAGTTATCCCTCCGTTTGTTAATAGCTTTAATTTTATCTAAATGTGAGTGCAACTTAATGAGGAAGGGGAATCATGCCAGAATAATTGTGTTTTATGATAGCAAATATTTACAGACACAAATAAAGGTTATTTTAATAACACAACATAGGTTATTTTTTGTGTGTAGATTTAGGCAACGCTAATGTGATATTCTCGTGGAACCTGGTTTCTGCTTCAGAGCTTATAATTCTGAAATTATTAGGCATTAATTAGGCCATAATTATTTCTCATACCTCTTACATGCGATGCATTCTGCTTTTTGGCATACAGAGCATGTACAGATTGATGAATGGTATGGTAAGGGAATGGAGCCCAATGTGTACTCTTAAGTCTGTCAGCGAATACTGAAACTCGCTGCCTATTTAATTATTACCATGTTACATTTGCTACAGGTATTACAGAGAATATGTATTCATGAAGGGATGTGAAAAAAGAATTGTGTATTTTGGTTAAGCTTTTCCCTGCCTTACGAAAGATGGTGTGGAAGAAAATGCTTGTTGGAACAACAAGGCATTGGTCACCCAGTCTGGGACTGGGACAGCATGAGTTTGATGTTCAAGAATGGGTAACAGAAGGGTAGAGTTTTTCAGGCCACCACCTTCTTTATTCTAAGTTGTTAAGGAATTAAACTACTCCTCTAGCGATTAGTCTTACTCACATTTCCTTTTTCCCCCCTTTCCTAGCTGCTGCATAAGAAGTCTTCCTATAAATGAGAAATGATAGGCTATGTAGAGCACATACAAAGTTTTGTCAGAACCATAAGAAAACTGGAACAATGATTTAAGTTTTTTGGGGGGTTAGTAGACTTTTCACATTAACCTTAGTAAAAATGTTTATACAAGTGTGGGTTTTTTTCTCTCTACTTAGCCCTCTACTTTAGAAGAATTAAGAAGAACTGGGTTAGAAAGGCCCATGGTTTCAGACCTTTTCACTTTCTTTCTAGTCTTACTGAATCGGGACATCAGGAGGCTTTTTCGAAGTGCTCAGAGTGGGAAGTCTTTGGTGAAAATGATGAAGTAATGACAGTACAACATGGTATAGAAATAACAAGGTAAATACCATAATGATTATGGTGTTCTTTCTGTTCATGCTTGTGCTGTGGTGTCCTTTGTTTTTTTTTTTTAAACTTTTTTTTCCTTCATTGCTTGATACTACTTCCCCCCTCCCCCCCTCCCCTTACATTTCCTCCAGTGTGTGGTATGTTTGGTTGTTATTTTTGTTCTTTAAGTTTACTTGGCTTTTTCCAGTATGACTCTCCATTTTTTGCTTTCTGCTGCTTCTGCCATTAACTAATGCTGGAAGATGATGAGCCCCTTTCACTTTCCTTGTCTTATGGAGAGCAATGGCATTTTACAGAATTGGTCCCCATGGTTGTTACTAGCCTCTCACTACCTCAGCGTAGAGGCTGAAAGCTTCCTGTCTATCTCCTTAGAGATTAAGTTGTTTTATAGCTGACAACAGTGATTGTTATTTGTTTTTATGCAGTGACTCATTTCCAGCCAGCTGTTCTTCAGGATGGAATAATCAGAAACAGAAGAAAAACAACTTCTTGCTGCCTGACAGCAAAACTTGCAGAGATACGGACTGCAGGCTGGAGAGGTATAAAATGCAGCTCATCAATCAGGGACTTTTTTTTTGCATATTAAGTTAGAAGCATAGTTGCTTTATTGCTGTGTTTCAGTCCAAGCTTTTATTATAAACATAGATTTATTGGGTTTTTTACTTTCTTCTTAAGGATGTGTTGGCCAGTATTTATTTGTTGCGCGGTAAAATTCTGTCCTTATGTTCTCATGTTATAGTCTGTATTAGAGTAAATAGCAGGTTGTACCTGTGTTTAGTATAAAAAGGTTATGATAATAAAGCCACTTAGTCTTTGGGGGTTTTTTTATTTGTAGGCTTAAACTTTGTAGCAGTTTATTGGAAGGACATCAGTCAGAATACCTTGAAAGGGGATGGGGAAGTGCAAGTGCTGAAGACAGAATAACGAGGAAAAATATTTAAATTCCAAGGTGAGTTCATGCTGACTACTACTTTCACCTGTTCTGTTTCAGTAGCCCATATGCAGTATCACGCTACAGAATCCAGCTCTTCAGTTCAAGCAGAATCAGCTTCTCTTTTTCCTCCTTTATTATATTATTATTTTATCCCATCCTCTTGTATTTAATGCAGCACCTTACTTAAAAGATCTAATACTTCAGACTTAGTAAATTATTTACCTGTTCAGACAGAAAACATGTGTTTTATCCTGTCACTCAAATGAAAAGTCATAGGCTTTTTAATTATTTCAGTAACAGCTTTTCTGCCTCTTAGTATTTTTTTGATGAAGCCACAACTTTGCATTTGCAGCAGTAGATTTCAATTAAAATTTTCTCTTGGACTATAGATTCCTGTGGTGCATTAATAGGATGGGTAGTAATCCTGATTCAAACAGCTTTTATTAGCAGATAGTCTTTTGTGTAATTTGTTTGTCTTTGATCTACATTTAATGCAGTCTCTGAAACATCGTGGACTAGGATATAAATGTCTGTTTAACAGTGATCTTGAAATATTTTGCATAATGAAATGCATTAAGAATATGTCACAAGAACATGGCACAATTAGTTTTATTCTACTTAGGTTTTGAATTCTAGCAATATGAGGAAAAGGCAGGTAGAGCTTTTAAAAAACTGTGCTAGTGGCATTTTTCTATTGACTTTATTGATTTTTAATTTAAATTCTTTGAGCATTAGTAATATTTAATAGGGATTCACTTTTCTAAAGTGCTAATTCAATATTTGAAAATATCTAGTCTCTCTTTGTATATAGAAGTATCGAAGAAGAAGGACTTTCTCCTCTGACAGAAAATGATTTGAAGAATAGGGATGTAGTCTGAGATCAGCAGATCAAGTCTTGAAAAACTGATGCAGTTGCATAAGATCTGCACTGAAAGAGGAAGAGATTTACAGTCAGCGTACGTGCAATCAACATAAGGTGAAATGTGCAGGTAAAAGCAGCAAGCCTCTACACATCAGAGTTAAGAGAGCCTTTCTGATCTAGATAATTGATATTTAGCTGCGTTGCAGTTGTCTGTGTTATAAATAAAGCTCTATTAAGGAGTGTATATATTCAGTGGGTTCATAATTACTCATCCTAATTGAAAAAATACCTTTGTGACATGTAAAATGTAGAAAATTAATTAAATAGCTTCTCTGTGGAGCAACACATTGGTTTCCTGGGATGCAAAGATCAATATTTAGAGGGACACTGCCTTTAACTGTAGTTTTTAGGTGTGATGAGCTTTAACTCTCAAATGACAGAAACTTCATCTGTGGAGAGTGAATGTTGCTTGGAAACCAGATAGTGGGTTACATGGTAGAATTCCACACCACCTTCTTGCTAACAGAAAATTTCTGTCTTAAACAGGAAAAATAAATATGGCTGGTTTGGAGCCCAGTTAAATGTCCATAAGTTTGAATGCATCTGGTTGCTTTTTAAAGGAAAAACCCTTAGTCAGTAGGACACATAAGATATGGCAGGAATGTGTGAATTAGAATTAAGAAAAAAAATGTATTTTATTAATAATGACATTTAGGTGAAAATTATGTGAGGGCTTGGGAAAGATAGGCACACCTGATTCATTTTCTCTTTGACAAATACTTTAGGAATATAAGGTATGTAGTACTCTGTTTTTCCAATAACTTATGTTCTCAAAGTGTTCTTACTGTCTGTAATGCTTCTTTAGTATGGACAATATGGCTTTGTCTTTTATACTATGCTTTAAGCTCACGGTATGCAGTGGTCTGTTCTGTTTGCTGCTACTGTAACATTACAGCTTAAAAGAGTAAATGTTTTCCTAGTAATGACTAGATATATTGTATTTATAAAATGTTATCTATCTTTTTTTTTTAGGTTTTTCCAGATCTTTAAGGATAAATTGTTTTCTGCAAGCTCTGCCTCAAGTGTAAAACTTCAGATTTCGTTAAGCCTGTGCTACAATGATGATGGATGTTCTTTAAAGCTTTCTTGAGAATGGTTCTGCTTTACCTGCGTTGGCAGATGACATGTGCGTCATACTGTAAAGGCTACTTCAATCAATGGATCCTGCTGCTGCCGTTTGGAGATCATGCTACTTAGAGTGTGCTAATGTTGAGTCAAACCGAAGAACGCTACCCCTTAAACCAAGGAGTTAAACCTTGTTCCATCTACGGGACCAGAATTGTACAGTCAACCTGAAGAACTGCTTCAAATGAATGTAGACAATTTCAACCTTTCTCCACCTGTTAAAGAAAACTTTCTTAGCTTTTTGGACTGGGTGATCATCCATTTGGCTTATTTACCGTTCTCTGAGATAAGTTATATTAAGCTATCATTTGCCTAAGCCTAGTGAGAGAAGAGAAGGGAAAGGTAGATGGTTTATCAAAACCAGATCCCCCTCTTTAAGGGGATGAGTGACTGTTTGAACAGCAAGACAGCCTAAATACTGGAGTTTGCTTTTGCATGTGTTGCAACCTGACTAGAAGAGCCAGTCTACTGCTAAGAGTGTAAGAGGATGAGTTCAATGCCTGCTGTTCCTACAGGAACTGGAGGTGAGCAGCAGTATTTGCAGGTTAGGAGCTGCTCTTGGGCATGGGGTATCTAGGCTAAGGGTTGTGACAGTGTTGAGATAGGCTTTCCTTTGGTTTACTCTTCTAGCACTGTGCTTAGAAGGGCAAAGTGAGGGCTGTGGCTACAGTGGAGTTTAGACCAGTTACAAGAATTTTTTGCAGTCCTTGTGGCATTTCATGTAGCATGACCTGAGATACAAATGTCTGTTTGGAGCTGGGAATTGTCTTTTTGCAGGAGTTTGGTTTGGCTTCTCGCAAGGCCGCTGCAGAGCTGCGGCAGTGCTAGAGATGACACACAGCAGCCTTGCTGTGGGGCTGGTAGTGTACTCAAGGGCCAAAAGCCTGTTGTGCTGCTACTGTGGAAGCAAGCTGCTTCCCCAGAAACTACTCCCAGTCCCGCCCAAAATGTTTTTCCAGGCATGCTCAGCCATGGAATTCAGTAGTGTCCCAGCACAAGGGTGGCTCAGTCACACACCACAGAGCACAGGGTGTGTGTATGCCAAGGAACACGTCTGTACAGCACTTTTTAAAGAAGTAATATTTAGAACCTTCTTGTTCCAGTGTGCGTGCTTTCATTTGATTTATGATGATTGTAAATAAGGGAATGTGTTACACTTTTGACATTTTGTCTTTATGCAGAAGAATTAAAGACTTTAACTTCAAAAATCCCTGTTAGTCTGCTTTTGCTGTTGTGTTGTTAGAGTTTCATTATAAAAGGAATATGTGGCTTCAGTAGTGCTGTTTGTTTGTTTGTTTTAGCCCTTGCTAAAAGGGGGAAGGAGGACTCTTCAGAGATTAAATCAAACTCTTGAAGAAAGTTTACAGCTTAGGTTGTGTCCAACCCCTCAGTTTGTAGTTTGACATCTTGTTATGAACTCGTATTTAGTGCATTGTAACCTAGTGGAAGGGAGCAGCTGAAGCCCCAGCACCCATTCTGCCATGAGAAAGATGTCCTCCTGGAGAGGATGGAGCTGTTAGGTGAGAGTAATAGGCTGTCATTAAATACCTAAGCTCAGCTGTCAGAGCCCTTAAGCTTTTGCGTATGATGGACGGGGCCTGCAGCGGATTTATGGACACAAATCCATGGGATCTGTAATTCAGCAGTCCTTAAAAGATCTGTATTTCTCGGTTGAAGATAACTTTGACTAGAAATAGAATAACCAATCTGCCCGTGGCAGTTAAATTTTGGGCAGATTTATTCCCTAATCCAGGTTCTGTACGCGTGGACAAGCTATGGTAGCACAAGGAAAGGAATGAAACTGAGCAGATACAGTTTAAGGTTGGCTAAAGTCATTTCATGCAGTGCTGCCACTGGATGTTGAACCATTGTATTGGCTTCTAATTAGTAACCTAATGAGTCTATACAGAACAGTTAAAACTGGAATGCAGTCTGTCCATTCACTTGTTTATCTCTCCAAGACTATTTGACGTAAGAGCTTACAACTGAGACAAGCAAAGCTGAAGTCTG